TAGCCATTCCTCCCTTGACTCTCTACTAAGAGAAGCCACTCTAATGCCATTGCCGTTCAACTGCGGGGTCTGAGAAATGTGGCTGAGCAGCTCCTTAGAACTGGGTCTAAAATCAGCGTGTGAGAGTAGCCACTTAGGGCCTTGAGGGTATTGTCTTCTCTCCTGTGCTTTGGGTGAGCATAGCCCTTTGGTGGATGGTTCTAAGCAGCAGAAAGGCCAGCGGTTATCAGTGCTAGCTTTGGAGTCAGATATAGCCTGGGTTGAGACCAGGACCTGTCACTTTGTGGGGCAGATGATCTGATCTCCACCAGCCTCAGTTTCCCTCATTGGTAAACAGGGGTTACCAATACATGCCTCCCCAGGAGGGTGCAATGAGGATTCAAGGGGACGGTTTAGACACTGTGCTTGGTTCTGGTTGTGGTTGTTCTTATTTCTGTAACTTGAAGAAGGATGAGACTCTGATTGCTCATTCATTCATTTCCCCAAATATTTATTCCCTGCCCATCTCCCTGTGCCTAAGTTTCCTTATCTGTCATGTGGGGAAAATAATAGTACTTATCTAGCTGGGGATGTGAGGATTTAGTGAGTAAATACACATAAAATGCTCAGGAACCTGGCAGGGTATAAAACAGGATATACATTACCCGCCATCATTGTCATACTGATGTATGCTGGACACCTTGCTGGGCATTAGGTATAAGGCGGTGAACGACATAGATGTGACCTCTGACCTTCTGGAGCATGCAGGCTCTTTCCATCCTATTTTCTCCATGAGGAGAGAAACTATCAGTGTTTCCTCACTGGCTTTTGTAGAAGGGGCTGGCAAATAACCCTGTGGGTGGCTCCTGGGACACCCTAACTGCTGGCTGCTGCCCTAGGGACTGGCCCAGGGGGTGCATACCCTATATTCTTGTGTTTCTGTACAGTCCCAAGCACCCAAAATGATTAGTGAAGTGGAGAGAACCACACCTGTGTCATAGCTGTGCAGACTGGTGTCTGTGAAAATGTCCTCACACCTTCAGAATGCCTCACAGACAAGAGGCCTAGGTGGGGGAACTGGGGAGGCCAACTGGATTTGGACTTACAGACCAGAGTTTGACTCTTAGTCCTGCCACTTAGCGGCTATATAGAATTTTCAGTTTCCTTCTCCTCTCTCAGCCTTGGTTTCCTCAGCCTTGGTTTCCTCATCTGTCGAATGAGAATGTGATAGTACCTGCCTTGCAGGGTTGTAGCAAGGAGTAAATAGGAGTAGAATATACATGTAAGGGAATTAAAGGTCTCCTCAAACACCACCTCCCTTAGGAAGCATCTGTGACCCTCCCAAGGAGATTTCACTGCTCCTTCCTCTGAGCTCAAAAGCATTTATTTATACAACCACTAGAATAGAGCCATGCTCATCACTTCACATATGCTTAGACTGGGTTCCCTGGTAACAAATGCTGAGGCAAAATTTAAAAAAGGTGAATTTCTGGGAGGCTCTCAAAAGATACAGCTGTCAGGAAGTGAGCAAAATGGGAGAAGCTGACATAGAGGGAGAAGCTGACACACAAAGAGAGAAGCTGACATAGAGGGAGAAGCTGACACAAAGAGAGAAGCTGACATAGAGGGAGACAAAGCTGACACACAAAGAGAGACACTGACACACAAAGAGAGAAGCTGACACACAGAGGGAGAAGCTGACACACAAAGAGAGAAGCTGGCATAGAGGGAGAAGCTGACATACAAAGAGAGATGCTGACCCAGACAGAGAAACAGACAGAGAGAAGCTGACACTCACAGAGAGAAAAGCTGCCATAGAGGGGAAATCTGGCACAGAGAGGCAGTTACTGAGGTCTTGGGCAATCCTCCAGGGAGCTCTGGGGCAGGGCTAGCCTTTCGGAACTGTCCTGAAAAGAGGCAAGGGATGCCCCTTAAGCTATCACGTCAGCCAGGCCTTCGCTAGAGGCTACTCTTCCTCTCCTCCCCGAGAGGGGTCATATTCTTGGGACACACAGTCCCCCAAGCAGAGGGCAGTTCCCAGTGATGAGTGAGAGTGTGAGAAGCAGCTGACAGCCCATCTCTGTCGAGGGTTCCACCAGAGACTGTGCCAAGCTTCCAGAACCAATGGAGAACCAAACAGAATTTCTTATTTGGTCTGCATTTATTAATACTTATTTGGTCTCTCCAGCCAACTTGGGCCAGAGTTCTCCCATTAGAAGACCTCCTTGGTGCTTAGTCAGACCTATCCAATTTCATTACCAGTAATGCACCAAGGTCCCTTTCTTTGTCACTAAAATGTTATCACCTGTTCGTTCAAAAGATATGAGTTCCTTCTTTGTGGACTAAACCTGCACACGATTATTTTTGCAGACTCAAAAGAGAAAAGGAAGCAAGCCTGTGGAGATGGAACCTAATTAAAAACCATCCCACACAGCCGTCGAGATGCAGGTTGGCTGGGACCAGGCCTGGTCCAGGCCCAGCCTCACAGCATCTGTCCGAATTTTGCCTAAGTGCAGGAAAATAGCAAAGGCCCTGGTAAAGCCTCCCAGGGATCAGGGTCATTTTGAAGTTTTCCAGGGAAACTTTGCTGCCAGGTATAAATCTAGACGGAGCTCTGCACCTGCCAAATTCTCGAGGCTTAGCTGAGAACTTGTTCACACTCCAAGTCCTAACTTTATCAGAGTTCATTTGACTTATGATGGAGCCGGTAAAAACCACCTGTATTCAAAGAAAGCTTGTGCCTGATCCCTAGCAGCTCCACGGCTGAGGCACAAGCCCGTATTTTCCTCTGTTGTCCTGTGGGAAGTGTACCTAATATGGCTGTCATGATGGTGTATTTCCTTTTTTTTTTTTTTTTTTT